ATGTCACTGAAACACCAAACTCTCCTCAGAATCTATGTAGGGATCTCTTCTAGGGAGTCCATTCTTCTGGGGTTTGGCCTCCCAGTGGTTTCCTTCCAGATGGAATTAGGTCAAGTGGGTCTTGATACAAGCAGAAATTTGACCAGGGAAGATCCTGTCCCCAGGTTGGGGAGTTAGTCATGTGGGAGAGAATCCCTGTCTCTTAGGGGATGAGACACCACACAGCCTGTTCTTCTCTTCCTCTTGGAGGCTAATTAGTTAACATACAATAATAATCAAAAAAGATGAGAACAAAAAAAATAGTAATAATAGCTGACATTTACATATTTAAATTTTGAAAAAGTACTCAACTATAGCATCTCACCTGATGAGAGTTCTCCTTGAACCCCATTACCATATGCAAGATATTAGATGATGCAGAGGGAATTCTTCCTTTCACGGCTCCTACTTCCATCAAAACCAACATTTATGTAAAGCTATGAAATTTACAAAATGCCCTACAAGGACATTGTGATATTCTGGCTCTTATCCCCATTTTCTAGATGAGCAAACTGAGGTTCAGAGAACCTCAGCCACCTAGATAATAAGTGTTAAAGGCAGGATTGGAAACCTAGGTCTATCTGACTCTGTCTGTGTCCTCCCTCAATCCAGGTCACCATCTATTAAAATAAAAATCACAAGACCCTCCTACCATTCTTTTTCTTAGTCTTTCTCTTTTCCATTGTACTGCTACCACATCCAGGTTCTAGAAGCACAGGTTTGATTGTGTTATGTTCAAGGACTTTCCATTGCTCCCTATTGCCTGTAGAATAAAGTTCAAACTCTTTATCTTGGCCTTCGAGGCCTTCCGCAATCTGACCCCTGCCTTTCTTTCTAACCTAATCTCTCACTAAGGTTTACTCAGTACTCCCTAAACATGCCACTGACTAGTGGTATGACTTTGGGTAAGTCACTTTCCCATCTCTGAGCCATGGTTTGTAATAATAGCTCACACTGATGTATTGATTTAGGGTTTGCCAAGTGGGTTGCATACATTATTTCATTTAAATGTCGTAATATATAATGCAGTAGTCATTATCATCCCCATTTTATAGAAGAGGAACCTGAGACTCAGAGAGCTCACACAGCTAATAGGGAAGTGTCTGTGGTAGAATTTGAACCCACGTCTTCCAGATTCCACATCTAGGGCTCTATTTCCCTCTGTGCATCACTACTTCCCTTTTCTGCCTTTTGAAATTGAGGGGGTTGAGCCAGATGACCTTGCAGATGAGCCTTGAGGCTTTAGCGGACAGTAAGCTCAGACTCTGTCCATGGCACAGCATGGCAACTGGAAAAACCAAATGTCTTTGGCTGAAAAGAGAGGGAGGCACCGTGTCCAGAATGAGGAGGCAAGAGCAGCCCCACTGCGCTTTGCCCCAGGCTTACCACATCTGGAGTGTTATTTCCCATACTGGCCACCACATTTGAGGAAGACCAGTGTTGGACCGGAGAGGACGACAAGCCAAGCCATCAGAAGGTTGCTTGAAGGCACTGGGCTAGCCTGGAGAGGAGATGACTTAGCAGGGACAGGAGAATTGCCTCGCTGTATTCAAAGAACTGACGTGGAAAAGGAGGAGTCATTTCCCTCTCCTTGCCCCAGAAGACAAAAGTAGGTGCAGTGGATAAAAGACCTTTTATAAAAAGATACTTTAGCTCAAGCTTCCTAACAAATAAAGCCACCCCAAAAAAGAAGGGGCTGTCTTGAGGAGGTAGTGAGTTGTCCTCCACAGAAGATATTTAGATAGAGGCTGGATTGGGGCTATCATAGCATAGAGGGAATTCTTGTTCAGGCAGGAGTTGAACTACGCTTATTCATTCATTCATTCATTCATTCATTCATTCATTCATTCATTTTCCTTCATTAATTCATATAATAAGTACCTACTATGTGCAATAGGACACAAAGACAAGGGCTCTGAAATTCCTTCCTGTTCTGAGATTCTAAAATCCTCCCATGTCCTGCCCGTGGCACCCATGTGGCTCAGTGGATAGAGTGCTGGAACTGCAGTCGGGAAGACCCGAGTTCAAATTCAGTCCCCAGACACTTACTAGGTGTGTGGCCCTGAGCAAGTCATTCAACCTCTACCTGTCTCAGTTTCCTAAACTATAAAATGGGGATAATAACAGCACCTACCTCCCAGGCTTGTTGTCAGCATCAATAAGATAATATTTGTGAAGCACTTGGAACAGTGCCTAGCGTGTTGTAGTCATTACCTAAACACGTATTCCCTTACCTTCCCCTTTTGCTAGTTTCATTCTGTTGCTCACCTAGAACGTCCTTCCCTCTGACTATCTAAGACCTGGCCATCCTTCAAGGCTCAGTTGAATTCCTAGTAATTTCTCCTCATTCTAAACTGCTTGAACAATTACTGTCTGTATCAATTCATTTGGCAGTTTTCAAAATGTCTTCCATTATTGACTTGAACTGTTATGGAAATCTTTTACTTAACTCTAGTTTCAAGGTAATAACTCACTATCTTCAGGCTGTCTGCCCTCCGGAAAAGTAATTCTTTCCTAGGGTCCTAGGAATTCAGAGCTAAAGGGACCTTAGAGCCCACCTAAGTCATCTCTCTCTCTTCTCTTTCTCTCTCTCCTCTCTCTTCTTTCTCCCCCTCCTCTCTCCCTCTCTCTCTCTCCCCCCATCTCTCTTCTCTCTGTCCTCTCTCTCTGTCTCTCTCACTCTTTCTCTCTCTCTTTTTTCTTTCTGTCTCTATTTCTCTGTCTCTGTCTCTTCCTTTCTCTCTTTTTCATTCTCTTGTTCTGTCTCTTTGTTTCCTCTGTCTGTCTACACAGAGAGAGAGAGAGAGAGAGAGAGAGAGAGAGAGAGAGAGAGAGAGAGAGAGAGAGTGCTATGGCAGTATGGGAGTGTGGGAGTTGGGGAGAGTGACTGAAGGGGTGCTTTAAAGACTGGAGGCCAAGAGACAGATTGGGATGCTATCACAATAGAACAGGTGAGACAAGGACCTCTGGGGTTGTTGCTGGAACAAAAGTACATTGTAGAAGAATTAGATGAGCTGGTCAGTCCTGAAAGCAACAGGACCTTTTATTTGGTGGGTTTAAGGGAAGGCTCCAAAGGATCAAAGGGCCCTGGATAAGAGCTAGAAGGGATCTCAGAACCCCCTAATTTTACAGATGAGGAAACTGAGGCCCTAGACAGTTAAGTGACTTACCTGAAGTGACCAATATCGTGTCAGAGGCAGAGTTTGAGCTCAGGTTCTCTGACTCCAGACCTAGGGCTCTTTCTACCAATAAACTAGGATACCCAAGTTCTAAACCTCAAAGGTTCCAGAAATGTTCAGATCGGGGAAGGGCGTTCCTAGAGGAAGGGTCCTCAGGAAAGGAGAAGAGGATTTCAGCTAAGATGGCCGTTGTGAGAGCATGACTGGGAATAGACATCCAGTGGGACACAGAAATACTAGGCCAGAGAAACCAAAGGGTTTTCTACTCTATAAAGACTTAGACCAAAATGGTATCATTGGTAATGGAAAGGAAGGAGCAGGAAGGAGACATTCTATTTAATAAGTATTTATTAACTCTCTTGATTAGAATGTGAATTCCTTGACAGCAGGGACTGGTTATTCCTAGTGTTTATTTGGTATATATTAGGTGCTTAATAAATGGTTCTTTCTATTAGAAAAAATAAGTATTTATTAAGCTTCTGTTATATGCAAGGTACTGTATTAGGTGATCAGAGTAGATAATTTTACAAGGACAGTCTCTGCCCTCAAGGGGCTTACATTCTCTCTCTCTTCTCTCTGTCTCTCTGTGTCTCTTTCTCTCAATACAAAAAATTTCTTCCCTTTACAAAAGGATTCCCTGTAAAATTCAATTCAATTCAACAAGCATTTATGGAACACCTACCAAGTTCGAGGCAATATCCTAGGTACCAAGGGTATAAAATATAAATACACAATAGCTCCTGTCCTCAAGGATCTGACATTATATAATTTTGTAAAAGAAGAACCGTAGCTGGAATCTCTAGTACCATGATTTGGTTTACAAAATTCTAAGCTGCATACAACTTTTCAGAAAATTTGTGCAGCATACAGGCAGAAACATATGCTTTCCACCAAGCAAGGACTCAAAGTCAGCTGTCCACTTCTGAGGTGGGCTTGACAGAACTTGGCATTTAACTGACTATGGTAAATGAGAGACAGAGGGGCATGAAATAATACTCCAAGGTTTTGAGTCTGAGTGACTAAAAGGATGTTAAATTGAGCATTAGAAATTGGAAGCTGGTATGAGATTATAGAAGCAGACAAAGCCCTCCCTGCTGCCTCTTTTAGAAATATTAAGAAAGCATTTTAATAAGCAATTAGGGAAGTGATTAGACAAGATCATGGAGTCCTTGGATTAAGTCACTTTGACTGGATTATGATCAGACTCTGAGACCTCTTAAGATGATCTTTAGCCATCTCAAAAGGAGCACTTTGTGATGGAACTGATCAAAGATGGATTGAGTGGTTTTAAGAAATAATTTGTGACTATTGTTCTAAGTGGTGAAACAAACTGTTAACTGAACTTTTTACCTTGCCCTGAGCTGTGTAACTCTGTGTGTTTTTTATTATATTGTGAAAGATCAACCTTGTTGAAAAATCCTAAAGATTGGGACTGCAGAACGACTTGTGTTAGATTTTCAAGGGTATGGGGGGATCTTGTCAGTTTGGAAATTTATCTCCCTAATCAGAATAAAGCTTGGATTGGAAGAATGACAAATTAATCAAAATTGTTTCTGGCAGACCTGCGCCTACAACACATAATATAGTATTGATTTTTTTTCCCTTTTACAAAGGGAAGTTTGGGACATTTTGAATTTGAGGGGTCAGCTTAAGCCAAAACTCAACAGTAAACTCAGTCCTAAAGGAAAAGAGAATCAGTGAGAAGAGATGGTGGAGCCAGTTGGCCTAGAAATGGACTGGCTGTAAAATTAACATCCCTTTCTCCTGGCTTTCTTCTGGTAGGTGGCAGAGTCCCCCCTGCCCCTTGAAGAAGCTTCCCGCCATGCAGAGACCACCTACGGCCACTTGGCGCCAGCCGAAAAGGAAATCATCATAATCACGCTCCACGGAGCTGTCAACTTGCCCCCCAACAAGAATGGCTCCAAACCCTTGGCCTTTGTGATAGCGTGAGTACCTGGCAAGGTGGCGGGGGGGGGGGGGGGGACAAGAGCCTAGGCTCCTAGGGGTGCATATGTACTTCACATATGCTCTGTAAGGTACAGGTGTATGCTTACCAGAGATATGATTATTAGGTGTATAAAATACTAGAGACTGAGAATAAGAGTCCAAAGGAAATTAGAGGACAGTATGAAGAGTGAAGTGTAAGTATCTGGGCTGTGAGAGGTCAAGTCCTTGGAATCCAGAGATGTGAGGGGATGAAAATAGAAACATAAATACCAGATTTTGAACCAGCATTAGTAGGAGTATGTGTCTGTGTGCCCCTACTATACCTGTGGCCAGACAAGAGAATGCCTTATTTTTTGTAGAGTAATACAATGGAAAGATTTGGAGTTAGAGTCAAAGGAATGTGGTTCTCATCCCAGCCCTTCCATTTATTACTTGGGCAATCTTAAGCAAGTTTCTGGGTCCCAGGTTCCTAATTTGTAAAATGAAGGGGCTGGACCCGATTATCTCTCTAAAGCTCCTTCCAACTCTGAATCAATGGTGCTGCGTTTCTTTGTAACAGCAGCCATGCTGAGAAGATAGGAGCAGTTCTGAGGCCTGTATAGACCAGAACCATACCTTGAAATCTTCTGGCCTGCAGTGGGTTAGGTATTCTTTGCCAGAGGCGGCCAGCCTGGTGCCCAGCTGCTCCACGTTTCCTGATGGCTCTTGTCACAAACTGTCACTCCTGCCTCCTCCCTCGTCCTGAGGCTCATCCTTCCGTCTTGACTTCTTTTGTTCTCTGATTTAGTCCCCTATTCTCCCTCCCAGGATCTTCCTCAAGCACCCCTCCAAATCACATGTGACTCTGGGCTACTCTGGCCCGAGGAGGAGCAGGGTTAGACAAGGCCTGTCTGTCTGACCCAAAAGAAGCATGGAATCTGAGTCCCGGATCTGGACCTGGAAGGAGCTTCATAAGCATCTAGTCCAACCCTCTTAAACCTGAGTGTTCTGACCCCCACGTCCTGCTCTTTCTTTCCTCTATATCTTAACAGTCTTTCGTTCAGTACAATTCAATTTAAAAAGCCTTTATTAGTCAATTCATTGACAAGCACTTACCAAATGTCTACTATGGACTACTATAGACTGGGCATGGACAGATAGAAAGATAAATGTGAAACAATGCCTGCTCACAGGAAGCCTCCGTTCTGCTTGGAAGATACAATATGTACACGGATAAGGAAATGAAAAGTATGTACTAAACATTTCAAGGGGTCATAAAGAGAGAGCAGGGCCACTAGGTGATGCAACAGATAGAGTGCCAGACCTGGAGTCAGGAAGACCAGAGTTCAAATCTGGTCTTAACCACTTCCTAGCTGTGTGACCCTGGGAAAGTCACTTAACCCTGTGTGCCTCAGTTTCCTCATCTGTAAAACGAGCCAGAGAAGGAAATGGCAAATCTGTCCAGTATCTTCGCCAAGAAAACCCCAAATGGGGTCATAGGGAGTCTGACACATCTGAAACAACTCAAGAACAACAACAAAGGAGAAAGAGCTAACAGCTGGGGAGATAAGCAAAGATCTCATTCCTAGGAGGAGGCAGTTTTGAAGGGCACGTTCCACATGGCTCCACATGTCTGGCCTGGCGCCTGCTGGTGCTGACTCTAAACTACCCCACAAAGGGTAGGAGGCTGGAATGGGCCAATTCAAGTCAATAAGCATCTATAAAGCACCCACTCTGTGCTGGCCACTGAGGGGATAAAGGAAAAATAGAACAAAAACCAACAAAACAATCCCTTCAAGATGGAGAATGAGACCAGGGACTCATAGTGATCAGAGCAGAAGGTTTAGCTTCCACAGGGGCCAGTAGGTGGGGGTGCTCGTGGAATGGCTGGGAGTATAGAATCCGAGTCCTGCAGACTGCTGAGGGGCATAAAGGAAGAGCAAGCTCTGGGGACCCCAGCACCCCTGCCCTCAGTGGTTCAAGTTCCCAAGTCACCTCTGGCTCCATTTTGTCTAGCTGTGTTCATTGCTATTTCTTTCCAAGAAGGTCCAGGCCTTTGCCTCTTCTCTATCTTCCTCTAGGAATGTAGGGTTCTCTGGGGCAGTAAGGGCTGGACAGAAAGGAAGGAAAAGAAATTGGCTTGGCTTTAGCCTTGCTTGGCCTGCAGATGCACGTGTGAGAGCTGGAGGGAGGTCCAGGTTCCCACAGGGTATTTACAGCTCTTGTTATCACCCAGAATGTCTCAGCAGTCCAGAATGTGGCCATGTTGCAGCTTTTTAGTGGGAGCCGCTTTTTGCTGGGGAGATATGGTGAGGGAGGCTTGAAGGGGAGGAGGGGGTATCTCTGAGGGAAGGAGCCAGGGCAGGTGGTTGGTTTTCTGCTGTGGTGAGCTCTCTATGTTATTGTTGTTGTTAAATTGTTTCAGTAAAATTTGACTTTTTATGAACCCATTTGGGGTTTTCTCAGCAAAAATACTAGAATGGTTGGCCATTTCCTTTTTCAGCTTATTTTACAGATGAGGAAATTCAAGCAAATAGAATTCAGTGACTTGTCTGGGGTCACATAGCTAGTAAGTGTCTGGGGCTGGATTTGAACTCATGAAGATGAGTCTTCCTGATTCCAAGTCCAGTGCTTGATGCACTGTGCCACCTATATTCCTTGTCCTCTCCATAACAACCTCCTTAGCCACTTCATCTATCTCCTCATGCTTCTTGCCATCTCTGTCTATCTTTCTGTACCTTATCTCCTCTCTCCTCCTCCTCTTCTTCCCCCTTCTCTTCTCCTCTCTCTCACTCTCTCTCTCTCTCTCCTCCTCCCTCTCTCTCTCTCTCCTCTCTCTCTCCCTCCCCCCCTCTCCCCTCTTCCTCCTCTCCTCTCTCTCTCTTCTCTCTCTTCTTCTCTCTCTCTCTCTCTCTCTCTCCTCTCCCTCCCTCCTCCTCCCTCCTCTCTCTCTCTTCCCTCTTCCTCCTCCTCTCTCCCTCCTCCTCCCTCTCCTCTCCCTCCTCTCCCTCCCTCCTCTCCTCCTCCTCTCTCTCCCTCCTCTCTCTCTCCCTCCCTCTCTCTCTCTCCTCCTCCCTCTCCCTCCCTCCTCCTCCCTCCTCTCTCCTCCCCCCTCCTCCCTCTCTCTCTCTTCTCTCTCTCTCTCTCTCTCTCTCTCTCTCTCTCTCTCCATGTATATAGCTTGTTTGTACATATATATCTGCTTATTGTCTCTCCCTTTTAGATTGCAAGCTCCTTGAGGGCAAGGACTATCTTTTTTCTCTTTTTGTAACACCAGTGCTTAGCCTATTTGGGAAAGTGGGATTCACACACACTGAGCTGTTAGAAAAGAATAAAGGATAGTGGATAATATACTGCTTTATGGGGTGGTACCTTATTCCTTCCTCAGTTAAGTTGCCTGGAAATGGAGAAGGAGCAAGCTGTGGGGACTTATGACCAGGTACAAGCTCAGTGAGTTGAGTCTGGGGACACGTCACCTTGCCACTTCCTTAAGCAATCTGACCAATTCGAGGTAGAGCCCTGCTCCCTTCTGGCTGCTTTGAGGCCAAGGTTGCTGTATAAGGGTCCCCAGGCTTCCAAGAATAAGTACTCAGATGAGATGGATCCCAGGGAAGGTCCACAAATATATTCACAGGACATGGAGCAGAATTTGCAGGCTACTGTTGTTCAGAGAGTTCTCTGGATGCACCAGGGAGTTGGTCAGTCAATAAACATTTTGTTAAATGCCTACTGTGTGTAAGCACAGGGCTAGGAATACAAAAAGAGGTCCGTTCCCTCAGGGAGCTCCCAATCTAAATGGGAGAGACAACAAGCAAATAAATACGTACAAACAAGTTCTATACAGCGCAAGTAGGAAATAATTAACAGAGGGAAAGCATTAGAATTAAGAGGGATTGAGAAAGGCTTCCTGTAGGAGGTGGGACTTTATTTGAGACTTGAAGGGAGCCAGGAGTTAGTGATGAGGAGGAAGAGAATTCCAGGCACGAGGGACAATCATAGGAAATGCCCAGAGTAGAGAGATGGGATGTCCTGTTCACTGAACAGCAAAGAGGCAAGTGTCACTGACTGAAGAGAACTTGGCAAAGGAGTATGAGAAGACTGTCCAGGTAGGAGATGGTTGGGTTAGGAAGGTTTTGAAGACCAAAAGAAGGGCTGATCCAGGAGGTAATAGGGAGTTTGAGTAAAGGGATCACATGGTTGGATTCATACTTTAGAAAAATCACTTTGGTGGCTGAATGAAAGATGGATGGAATGGAGGGAGACTTGAGGCAGGCAGAGCCGACAGCTGCTGCAGTGGTCCAAGCGTGACATGATGGGGGACTCTACCAAAGTGGTTGCTATGGGAGAAGAGAGAAAGGGTCATATCTGAGAGATGTTGCAAAGGGGAAATCAAGAGGCTGTGGCAACAGATTGGAAACAGGGGGGTGAGGTATAGCGGGGAGTCCAGAATGACACCCAGATTGCTTGCCTGGGGACTGGGAGTGTGGTGTTGTATTCTATAGCAATGAGGAAATGAGAAGGCTGGGAGAGTTTAGGGAGAAAGATAACGAATTAAGTTGGTGAGTTTTAAGATGTCTACTGGAATCCAGTTCAAGATGTCTAAAAGGCAGTTGGAGATGGAAGACTGGAGGTGAGCAGAGAGATGAGGACATGATAGGTCTATTTGAGGATCATCAGCATAGAGACAGTCATTCAATCTATGGGAGCTGATGAGATGACCAAATGAAGCAGTGAAGAGAAGAGCAGAGAAGAGAAGAGAAGAGAAGAGAAGAGAAGAGAAGAGAAGAGAAGAGAAGAGAAGAGAAGAGAAGAGAAGAGAAGAGAAGAGAAGAGCAGAGAAGAGAAGAGAGGAGAAGAGCAGAGAAGAGCAGAGAAGAGCAGAGAAGAGCAGAGAAGAGAAGAGAAGAGAAGAGAAGAGAAGAGAAGAGAGAGAAGAAGAGAAGAGAAGAGAAGAGAAGAGAAGAGAAGAGGGTCCAGGATAGAACCCCATGGGATGCTTGCGGTTAGAGGGTAAGATGTG